AAACTGGACTCAGCTTCACTTTCAATTTTGGGGAACCTTACATTTTACTTTTAAAGTTTGAATAAAACGACTAAATCTTTTTTTTTTTATTAAAATGGTTTCAGTCTAAAACTACTTAAAAGATGTGAGTTRGCATTTAATGCTCACACTGAGAGGAGTCCGACTGGCCCGGTGACACACTGTCCTCCCAGCTTAAAGTACTGGAAGCAGGCTGTTCTGAGCTCATGAAGATAATCTAATAAAGCAACGAGAATGATTAGATCAATGCAGATTCTATCTGTTGCACAAACGTGATTATCTGCAGAGGCAGGCAGGGACTCACCGTCAGATGCTGAAAACAGCTCGTACAGAGCCTGGGCCAACACATTCACCACAAAAGAATGTGATGACTTGCGTTCCCAGTGGAATTTTTTCTTTGCCTGTCAGAGTGAAAAATAAAGCCACAAGCAAGGTGTTAAATGGCACACTGGTCTGCAGACTAATGACGCCTGGTGAACGTCTACAAACGTTTCTTTTTTAGAGTCACCTGAAATCAAGATGGCTAACASAGCAAAGCAGTTCTAGCAAACAAAAATAGCTTCAACTCATTCAGAGCTCAAATAAGGCAGCTGAGAGTTGATCGATCAATCAAGTTTCAGATTAGCTTTGAACAAAAATAGGTAATTGATAATAGTAACTTAATTTTGGAGTGTTTCTGTAGGCCCACCGCCTGCAGGAGGGGCTGGATGAGTCAGGTGCATGACGCCGTGGGCAGTAACCAAAGGCGGGGACCTTGGCGCTCTGACCCTGGCCTACCAAAACTGGCTCTTGGGACATGGAATGTTAGCTCTCTGGTGGGGAAAGAGCCTGAGCTTGTGTGTGAGGTGAAGAAGTACCGGCTAGATGGGCTCACCTCAGCGCACAGCATGGCTCCGGAACCGATCTCCTCGAGAGGGGCTGGACTTTATTCTACTCTGGAATTGCCCATGGTGAGAGGCGCAGAGCTAGTGTGGGTCTACTTTTGGCCCCCTGACTTGATGCCTGTGTGTTGGAGTTTACCCCAGTAGATAAGAGGGTAGCTTCCCTGTGCCTTCGGGTGGAGGGGATGGGCTTTGGTGGTCATTTGTGCCTACGCACCAAATGATTGCTCGGAGTATCCAGCCTTCTTGGAGTCCTTAGCAAGGCTGCTGGAAGGTGCTCCTGCTGGGGATTCCTTTATTCTTTATTCTGCTGGGGGACTTCAATGCCCACGTGGGTAATGACAGTGTGACCTGGAGAGGTGTGACTGGGAGGCACAGCCTCTCCGATCTGAACCCGAGCGGACTTCTGTGCTAGTCACAGTTTGTCCATCACAAGCAGCATGCTCGAACATAAGGGTGTCCATAAGTGCACGTGGCACCAGGACACCCCAGGTCGCAGATCAGTGAYTGACTCTGTAGTTGTGTCATCTGATCGGCAGCTACATGTTTTGGACACTCAGGAGAGGAGCTGAGCTGTCAACTGATCYCCACCTGGTAGTGAGTTGGATCAGATGGTGGGGGAAGATGCCGGACAGACCCAGCAGACCCAAACGGTTACTGCTGGGAACGCCTGGCAGAAGAAYCCGTCAGACAGATCTTCAACTCACACCTCTGGGAGAACTCTAACCACATCCCAGCCAAGGCGGGGGTCMCCGAGTCTGAGTGGGCCATGCTCCATGCCTCAGTTGTTGAAGCGGCTGCCTTGAGCTGTGGCCGCAAGGTTGCCGGGGCTTCTCGCAGTGTATGAAGGCCCGCTTTGAACTAAATGTTGCCAGTCCATTAAATGGACATTATTAGAGGTTATCAGTCCCATACAATGTGTCCAGACTGTCCCTCCTCTACCTCCTAGTAGGTTGGAAGGGTGAAGCGGCTGGGATGAGGAACTAAAAAGTGCACATGTAGCAGACAGGTGTGGGTGTTTACCTGGATCAAAGTTGTGTCGTCGCACAGATCTGGAATGTTCCGGAGTAAATTTCTCCAGATGCAAATGTCATTCAGAGCGACACTCATCCCTCCTCCTGTCAGAGGATGCCTCATGTTGTACGCATCGCCCAGCAGCAGCACACCTGAAACAGAACACTCTGATTTATTCATCCGTTTGTCCTCCCCAGTTATTTACTGTCTGCACATCAGCCACCGCCTTTCATGCCAAAGTTTCAGACTGACATCACGTTATGTTTGAGCCTTTTAGTCCAATATTGTAAAGTTTGTGTGATATATTGTGAGATGTGTTACTTTACTTAGTTCATGCTGAGGATGACTCTCAGCTACTACCACACCTACTTTTACCTCAGTATCTRCAAAACCCACTGAATTATRACCATGTGTTTGTTGCTGGTGGTCRTTCTGAAGTAAATAAGTTTTAGTTAAATATCCAGTGATWATCTTTGGAGTTTTATAAAAGTCTGTCCAATTTATGTTTCGCTAACACAGACTTTTCCACAGTCATCTCCGTCTGCAAACAAAAACCAGTCAGTGAGACTTCAGTACCTGGCTTGTTGACCGGGGACGGAGGCAGGAAGCTGGCAGGCATGGACCTGAGACGATCGTTCTGTATCGCCTCCATGAASGGTTCCTTGATATGCTCTGAACAAAAGAGAGAATTAAAAACAAATAGAGGAGCTCCGTCACCTGGATGAACATCCGCAGGAGAAAAATAGCTGCACAACATGAATAAGTTCATATTCAGATCAGATTTAGACTCTTTATGCTCATCACAAACATGATTATTATGACCCCCGCACACGAAGCGTAAGTGGGAGTCATATTGTTTTTGTACTGTTTTTTTTTCTTCAGTGGTTTTTGGTCAACCGTAGCACAAAAACAGCTACACCGATCTACATGAAATTAGTCTGGGCTGTAGATGAGTCTGACCTACACTGCACCAGCCAACGGTTTTATGATAGACCTTATATTTGAGGAGGGGGCTCCTTTCAAAGAGTGGGTGTCAGGACATGCAAAAATGCTTATAACTCAGAAACTCTTCAACATAGGAGCTTCAGATTTCGTTTGATGTTTAGCTCTGATGAAGCTCTATCCATCAGGTCCACCAATTAGTGCCCCCACCCCCCAATTTATCTGAAAAGGGGGTATCTGGACATACAAAAAGGGTTATTGCTCAAAAACTATTAAACATAGGAGATTCAGATTTTCTTTGGTTGTTTAGCTCTGATGAGGGGCTATCATCAGGTCAACCAATGCCCCCCACCTAGTAGCATGACATTTATTAGGAATAAAGACTTCTGTGTTCTGGTGCATGTGTGTGTGCGGGGGTCATTATGTTACTGCTCTGCGGGATCTATTTTTTTTTCTTTTGTATGACTTGAAGCTTCACAAAGCTGTCATGTCATTAGAATCTGCTTTATTTTTATTGTCCACTTGATGGCACAGTAGAGTAAATGAAGCCTGATGATGCCGGCTCGTAGGGAGCAGTTGGATGAAAGCTTYGGTTAATCACAAAGCTTCATCTCCCCACCTCTAGTCCAGAGTAGAACCAGACCTGGTTTTAATGCAGTGGACCCTGAGGGCCTGAAGACCACTGCCACTAATGTTGACTTTCAGTTTTATCCTTTGAGCAGACATTTCTCCAGATTTCTGAAATCTTTTGATGATATTATGAAGTGTGGATGATTGAGGAACATTGTTCTGCAATTGTTTCACYAGTTTTAGATTGAGTTTTTCACAGAGGTTCTGCCTGTCTTTCCTTCAGACAGGTTCAGCTGTTCTTTTTAAAGCCAGACCTCTGACCTGCTGACAATTAACCTTCCACTTTTACAGCCTTTGTCTGTTGCCCCAACATTTTTCCACCTTCCTGTCCTCCCAAAAATGGTGCAGTTTTTTTCACTTTAAACGTGTTTACTGTGTTTTATTGTTCGAAAAATGCAGTTCTTCGCACTGTCCATTCTTACWCCAGAAAACACTTTAACAAAATAAAACGTTTTCCACGTTGTTTACCTGGCATCTGTGGGTAAATTTTCTCAGCCAGGTACTCTGAAAGATTACGAGGCATCTCCCCTCTGACGTCGACGAGGACCCTGGTTTCAGAGGAGGAGATCTGGTAGATGAGCACCGGGCTGGGGTTGGCCAGAACCAGCTCAGCGTGGTTGGCCTTAAACTGTGGACAGTTCTGTGAGGAGGAAGAGTAGCAGCAGGTTTTAACACGAACACATGAAAAAAAAGTTTTTAACTCACCTCCGCTCAGACCTGTGCCTTAGTTTAATGAGTTGCTTTTTACAAATTCTGCATTTTGATCTTAAAACAACAGTAATCTGAACTCTGGCTGTGAACTTTTATAATTACTCTGATTGCTGTCAAATCAGCTGATTGTCCTAATTTAATTTAAGCTTATTGTTCAAATAGCATCTTCACATGGGTCCAAACATCCTAAAAAGCTTTCAATTTACAAAACCAGCCACTGACATCACTTAATAAACAATGAATAAATCATCAGTTAATAAAC